CAGCCTGGGTGTGGGATCAGGCCTAACTCATCAGAAGATTTCCTGTCATGCTTATGGGACACGTGACAGGCTGGGTGTGAACTTTCATGCTGGAGTTATTTTTGAGGGGATTCTTATACCTATGATTTAAGCTGACCTGTTTTTGTCTAAAATTCACATTATTATTATTGATAAGCGTTAAGAAAGAGAAATAAGAATTTAAAATGTTAAGGCGATTTCTAATTATATGTCACAATCTGGAGTTTATCCATTTATGAAGAATTTCATCTTATCAATCTTGAACTCTAGTTAAAGTTGTAATTAAGTTCTGGGGCAAAAGGAATTCTCCCTCCAGAGCTGGAATTCTGGGTTGAAGGAAAATGTCCACACCACCAACCTCTGAAGCCAAATTACCGGAATCCCAACTTACCCAATTCCATCGTGGGTGAAGCTCAACTAATCGCTTTTATGCATTTATTTTAATACATGCACATCTTCTTTGATTAAGATCCCCCTCTTTCCCCCTTTTTTCTGCTTGCTTTCTGTTTGAGATTTTAAAAAGCATCTACTGCGCATGTGATGCTTTGTAGGTTTTTATTGTTTCTACATTATATATATAAAAATTAAAAGCGCCTTTGCCGGCATTGTCAGGAATGGGCTGACAAAAGGTCTGTACCTGCTTGAGTTGCATCTGCATCTTCTGCTTCTGGACTTTTAGGGAATCGTTTTTCAAATGAATTTTTTCTTTCATAACATCCTGAAAAATAAAGCAACCTGGCTGATTTTTCAGACTTCTTCCTCCTTTGGGAAGAACTCTTTCCCTCCCATACTTGATCAAGACAAATACTCAAGACAGATTTCTGCACCCTGGTAAGGCAGAAAGCCAGATTGGGACGATTGGGGCTTGTGTAATTTGTGAAGTTTAGGACTATGCCACACAAACTATACAGCAAGTTAGGTTTCAATTAGGCAGCCTTGTAAATTAATTTAAAGAAGTAAATATAAATGAATATACTGAGTGGCTTTGAACGTGGTGAAAATGAATCTTACTTACAAGCCAGGACTGCCTTTTTCTCGGTCATCATATATGACAAAGGAATTCTGCTGTAAAATGTAACTACCACAATAATTTCTGAGTTTGGGAATGAATTACAATGTCCTTATTTTCTGTGAAATAAAAATATGTAAAACACCTTATATTTATCTATTTAAGCCTGGCCAGATAATTGGAATTCATGAAAGAGAAACCAAGTGTGTATTAAATGGATGGTCAGGGTTAGCCACAACCCTCTGAGGAGGACAAGGCGTGGGGTCAACGGAAAGGACATTCCTTACCCCAAGGCAGATGGGCTTGCACTGTTTTTCACAGCTTATAAATTCACATGTCAATTACAAGTCAAGAGCTGCATTCTCATTTTGGGAGGGTGTTTCAGGAACTTTAAGGAGTGATGTCGGTTCCTCAATTATTTGGGAGGCTTAAAGCACTCTGAAACTCCCAAGCCCAAACTTCTGACCTCCCTCAGCTTGGGTCCCTGAAAAGAATGACCACACTTTTTGCACATTTTACGGCTCCACTGAGAATTTCCCACCTCTCCATGCTGTGACTTAAAGAGAGAGAAGATGTGACCACCATTAGGATGCAGCTAAATCAAGAAGCATATTCTATTTATTTTGTTGCTGTTATTTTTGTTTATTCCAGTGGTCACCAACAATTGGGCCAGGGACCACTGGTGGTCTGTGAGAAAATTTGGGTGGTCCACTGAGAAATGTCACCCCCAAAGTACCCCCCAAAGCAATTAATCCAGGCTGCACAGGAATACAAGGCTACGCCACCCACACGGCCCACGGGAACACAAGGCTTGCGTCGCTTGCGTTGTGAACCACACGAAGTAGTGAGGGGAGTGGGGAAAGGGCAGAGGGGTGGGAGGAACTTGCCCCACATGCCTGGCCTGGCCACCAGGCTGCTTCTTTCCACTTCTTTCTTCTTCTGCTTTTGGCTGCACGCAACGAAAGCAGCCAAAGTCTTTCTTTCTCTCCCCCAAACTCTGCCAGAAAGAGACCCTGCAAGGCCTCCTGCTCCAAGAGGCTGCGCCGGCACGACAAGTCTCATTTCTGGTGGAGTTTGGTGGAGAGAAAGAAAAACTTGCTGCTTCTGCTGCTTTCCTTGCATGAAGCCAAAAGTTTCTCTCTTTCTCTCCCCCCCGAGAACGGAGCTGGAGAAGGTATCCTGCAATCCCAAATAAAAAATGATTGATCGGTAGGAAAATGGGGTGGGGAATTTTCCTGCAGACTCTTTTTGGGGGTTTCCCAGGGTCTCTGGTCCGTGAGATTTAAAATTATGAGTTTGGTGGTCCCTGAGGTCCAAAAGGTTGCCGACCCCTGGTTTAATCAATTTATATCCCCACCCAATTCACCAGCTGCAATTCTAGGAAGCTTAAACAGGATCAAGAAAACACAAAAAATAAAAACAGAGAGCAAAATGCAACCAAGACCAACACAGGCATAATCTCCCCTATCATAAAAATGGTCTCATCCAACCCCTAGTCTAGGAATTCTGTGATATCAGATGTTTGAGCCACATTGCTTGCTTCCATCCTGATGTCATTTATACTCAATAATAGAGGATCAAGTAGACAGAGGATTTCCAAAATGATGATCGTATTTTTATGGAGCTTTATAAAGTGAAAGATTATTTATTTTTGAGGACGGTCTAATAAAGGAACAATAATTCAATAATTCTCTGAAGGCAATGACAACCACAGATATCTAAATGTGTTTCACTGTTTGGCACATACCAAAGGTCAGGAATACTGTAAGAATGCCAATGAGAAAATAGACCTTGTGTCCACATTCACCAATTTATAAGACTCAAAGGAGAAGAACCCATTAAGAGCCAACTTTCTCTTACTGACCCTAGAGCGAATCCGGTCCTCCATGTACCGCAGCACCTTGTCAGAGGCAATGACGCTCCCTTTCTTCTTAGTGATGGTTTTCACTATGTCTTTGTCAAACTCTATCATAGCTCTCTTAATTTCAACCAAGCGAATATCTGCTTCCTCTAGGATAGCCTGCAGAATTCAAATTACATTGGAAATAAATACATGTTATATTTCACTTATTTGCTGGGGTGTGTGTGTGTGGGGGAGGGCAGACCTGGATGCTCACCCTTACATATAAGCAACCACCAGCAGCCACAGTCCCAAAGAATGCTTGGCCTTGTCACAGCTCAACCTGTCACCTTCAAGACAGTAGAGTACAACCCTCTGGAGCTGGTGACACAGAGGCTAGGAAAGACAGTCCAGCCCAGGGTTTCTTAACCTCGATAACTTTGAGATTTGCGGACTTTCAGCTCCCAGAATTGCCCAGCAGGTGTGCCCAAACAGCCCTTCAAAGGGAGGTGTTACCAGGTAATTCTGCAAGCTCCTTTCCGAATTTTCCTTCATCAGCTGCAGCTCTTCCTTGGTCTCGTCCAAGTCCCGCTGCACCAGGTCACATTTCTGTTCCACCGTCAGACATATCACTCGATCCACTGTGATCCGGGACTTTGACTTGCGCCTGCCCCGTGGCTGCAACCCAAAGGGAGGGTCCTGAGTCACCCACCCTCCAGCAAAAGCCAAATGTTCAGTCTTAGGATTTGCCAAACTAGTTTTCAGCTTTCCTTTTTCTGATCCAGTATTAACTTTTAGATGTCTTAAGACAGGGGTCTCCAACCTTGGTAACTTTAAGACTTGTTGACTTCAAGCTGGCTGAGGAATTCTGGGAGTTGAAATCCACAAGTCTTAAAAGTTTGCCAAGGTTGCAGACCCCCTTCCTTAAGAGACACCGGGAGCAAATATGACTTAACACCTCACCATAAAATGTCAACTTAGAAACATATTTTCAAACATGAACATGGGAACAGTGAAAACAATTCATTCAACAACTTCAGCAGCAGCATTTTCTACACTGGGCCCAACAGGGAGAAGTCAGAGTCACACCAGGTGTTAAATTGATCTACAGGAATGCCTTAAAGGTGTCTTGCTGAGGATGGTAGGGAACAGGATGGTCCTGTTACTGGGTCGAGCGCTACGTTGTTACCTAGCTATGTGCTTGTGAGCATCTCAACCCATGTGCTGGGTTCTGCATTGGCTGTGACTCCCCAAGCAGTTTCCTGAAGCTGCTCACAAGTGCCAACGCATCAGTCGCCAAGACCAAGTTTCTTCTTCCTGAGAGGAAAGACTCCATTGCGTTCCCAGCTGAAGCCCGTCCAACGCCTTCCTTGCCACAGATGCAGGGGTGTCAAACTCACCTTGTCACGGCGGCATCACATGATGTATCGCGACTTCCCCCCCTTTGCTAAACCGGGCATGGGCTTGGCCAGTGAGACAGCCCTGATCTAGAGCCTCCAGATCCTCAAGGAGAAAACAACCCCTTCCATAACAGGCATTTCTCCCAAATCCTGAACTCCAGCCAGTCTCCTCCATTTTGCCACCACTGAGTTTCAGTCACATCCAGTTCCTTACATTGAGGGTCAGACATTCATTAACCCATGGAGACATTCCCAACCTTGAGTTCATCGGAAAGGAGAAATACGGCTGCCTACTATTAGTTCCAGAGATGTGAAGGATCCTTCGAAGTATGGAACCTCAAGCACTCCAGCAAAAATTTAAGGTCAACACCAAAAACCACAGAGAGCCCAAGATTAACAAGAAAGATCAGAATGTATTTCTCTCTGAAAAGGTGTTGTCTCCATGTCAAATCCCAGTCTAAACTCAGAATGAAAAGGATCGTGATAATCTAATTTATTTCCCTAAGTCTGGAAAAAAGATAGAATATTGGACATTAGCTGATACTTAAGATTAAAGGATGATTTCCTAAGGAACAATATCACTGATGCATCCTTAAAAATAATATGAAAGTCCACCTGCCGAAAAGAAGCATTTGGGGAGAAACACAACGATCCTTGGTCAGATGAAGTATTTGGAGGGAGGCTCTTTTATAAACAAAGCCAGGGAGAGACCCAAAACACAAACATGAACTTCTTATCCATTCCTTCAAGTAATTAATTGTGAATCTGATTCAAATAAACATTACTGATGTGAGCATAACCACATGATGGCACACAATATTGGTCAAAGTGGCTTCAATGCATCGGTGCTCCCTTATTCCAAACAGACTGTCCAGATCCTTCATAATGGAGCTCAGTCAAAACTTGAGGGCGACCAAAAGCACAGAAGTTG